TCTATCACATAATTCGACATCGAATTCTCAACATTGCAACATCTGCAAATACAGCAATGTTCCAATCCAATTTCTCAACCATCCCAAAGCTCCAATCTCATGACACACAGCAACAACTTCCATTCCTCCAGCAATGGAACAAGCCTCGATATGGTGAGCATATCGGATTCGATTCGGTATATAACCAGCACGAGCGAAGATTTCAGATCTGGAGTCGTGGCACGCAGCACAGAGCTATGCGTCATGTTTCATCAATGTCCTCGAACTCGACAGATTAAGGTTACGTCAACCAACCAGCCACGTACTGCTTCCAAGAGACCTTTCTCTGGTAAACATACCAAACACTCAGCTTCTAATGTATTTAGCCTCTCCGAACATCCTCTAAGTCGCATGTTCTCACATCAATCTCTTACAGCCAAAACCACTAACCATGAAGCAACCGACTCTCTTGAACTGCTAGAATCCGCCCAGTCTGTGATGTTCACACTAGTAAGATAAGTTCCAAATTTCTCCCAACAACTTGCGAATTTGCTAATCATTTTCTAATCGATATAGTAATTAGTGTTGCACTTTATATAGTATCGTCGGACATTCACTCTTCGCTAAGTTTCTACCCGACGCCGGACTTCTACCAGTTATCGGACTTTGCTGGACGTCTATGCGAAGATGCATTTCTTTCCATTGTTGGACTTCCACCTGACGCTGTCCTTCTGATCTTCGTCGTCAGACTACAGTCCTTCCGACCTCCATCACCAGCCGACTACGGTCCTCCTGACTTACGTCGCCCACCGACTACAAGTCTTCCGACCTCCGTCGCCCACCGACTACGGTCCTCCCGACCAAACGAACATGTTAATAGTGATTCTTTGTATTCACATCATGTAATGTACTCCATAAGATGTACATCAAGCTAAGACCTTCCACCAAGGAAGGACCTCGTTTGTAATCAACTCCAATACTAGTGGATTCATTCAAACTGGGCTAGGCCCTGTGGTTTTTTTCCCCCTTTTCAGGGGTTTTTCATATAAAAATCTTGGTGTCTCATAAATGTTAGACCCTCTCTCTTTATCTGATTGCGTGCCGAATTTTTGTACAACGCTAAGACGTTAAATCTTATATTTCTCTACCACCGCGAATACTCCTGGACGCAACATATATGAAAAGGTATAGTTTCACATTAGAAGGTAATATTTGTGATATTTTTGACATAATTTTGAAATTAAAATATTATATAAGTAAATATTAAGATTTGCATATTAGATATGTAAATATATAAAAATTTAGAATTATAAATGTAAATCCTTCTCATTTAAATGTCCAGTGTTGAACCAGTTACATTCGGATTAAAAAAAAAAGTTTCATTTGCATAAGACTCGGACAAGTCTTTAAGTTATGATCCTAAAAACAGACATATCCATAAGGAAAATTTTCTGACAAATTTATAATCTGCATAGTGAATTAAATTTGCATATATCAACAAAAATTTATTTTGATCATGCACGAATATCGAGATAAGTTTGAGTTAGAAACTTCAAAAATTAAATATGGGACCATCTGTTCAGCAAACTTATAGTCGAATTGAACGTCTCGAAAAGATGAATCCAACGACATCAAATTCAAGCAAGCCTAGCCAAAATGGGCCCAAATCGAAGACCCAAAGCACATCTGAAAAGTTCAAATCATAAATTAGATGATCAAATGATTTATAAATGTGACATGCTTATAGTCGAATTGAGCAGCTCGACGGGATGAATCCAACAAGCCCTTGATTTCTAAATGTGACATGCTTATAGTCGAATATTTATATAGAAGAATCATTAACACACTCAAATGCTCGATAAACGGTCAACAATCAAGGGAATTGATATCAGTCGTTCATTCAAAACACTCCCAAAATATCCTTGATCTTGTCCTTATTTACAGCTATCTCATTATCTGAAAATTATAAATAGACCCCTTATTCTCCACCGAGAAAAGAATAAGCAAGGAAGAAAATAAAGACAAAGAACCTAAAGTTCTCTTGCCGCTATACTCTTTCTCGACCACCCTCAGACCATCATCAGACCACCGACCGTCGTAGGACCGCTGACTGACGGTGGATTTCTTCACAACCATCAGCTGTCGCTGGACTTCCACCTGACCACCAATTGATGTCGAATTTACCCCCGGCCACCGGCCGTCATTGGACTTTTGTCCGATTCTTGTTTGTCGATAAATTTCAACCTGATGATTGACAATTGTAGTCTGATTGTCCTCAACTTCAAGGACATATAAAGCTTTGTAATCTATTTAAAACTAGTAAAATCATTTCAACTGGGCATCGTCTCATGGTTTTTTTCTTCATGGTTTTCCACATAAAAAATTATGGTATTTCTTTTTATCTATTTGTGTACTGGATACTCGTGGAATGCTAAGATGAAATATTTTTTTTGCTTTAATGTTGTGAATATTCTAGCCCGTGGCAAATTTATACCAATATCTCATGTAATAATAAAAAAAAAGTAATGTTTATGCATAAACGACTAAAGTTATGTGATTAGTTAATTTATAATCTAATAAAGATTTGCAACCAAATAAAGTAACTTTTAAATGCATTTTAAAAACGCCGTTCACTTAAGCGCATTCAAATAACGCGCTGCATCAGCGAATTCTTTGAATGCACCGATTAGATTGGCGCCTTTGCTCGTTCTTAAATTTATTTCCTATTCAGCTCATTCCGCTAAATTTGATTTAATCCTTGCTTCTTTCAAAAATTTGGCCTATGCAATATTCATCCTTTCTCCTCAAACTTCCTACTGAGAAAAAATTATTAGGTGCGGAGTGTGCACCGTCCGCACAAGCACTGGATAACTTGCGGTACCCAACGGTACCCACCGGTACCGAGTGCCGGTACCTAGCTGGGTATAGTGTTTGTGCGGACGATTCTCCCCGTCTGCACTCCGCACCTAATAATCTCTCCCTACTGAGGCTGTATGTGCTGCAGCTCTTCGGTTACATTTCTGATCTTAATGCTGCCTTGCCTCATACAAATAAGTAAATAACCTACACTATCTGTTCATTTGCTGTTTGATTTACTTGCTTTGGCGTGCAAAGAATAAGGAGCAGTTTGGCAATGACATCTATAGTCATTCTACTCTTTCTTTTTAAAATAAGAACTCTATCAACCACAATATTAAAAAGTGGAGCAAATACCAAAAAAAATCGTGGATTGATTCACTGAGGGCAGTCTCCAGCGGAACTCCAAACTACTTTAAGGTGTAGCTGATTTGCACCATTTGAACGGCAAAATAATTGCTAATCGGTGGAGGGTGAACAATGCGACGTCAATATTGGCGTTGCACTGTTCACCTACGCCATTTTCCTGTCTCAATCGGATTTGCCGAAGAAACGCGCGAAAGATGAGAAAGATGGTTACCTTCGCAGAAGCGCGCAAAATGGAGTTTGATTGGAAATGAATCAGGACATTTTTGAGTTTTATTGCATTTTGGAGTGAAAAATGAGATTTTTGGTTGGAGATGCCCAGAGGCTTCGTTTGGGACGACTTATTTATTGCTTCTTAAAGCAACTTTTTAATATATATATTTTAATTTTTATACCAAAAAGCTTAAGAAGCAATAAGAAAACCGTCCCAAATGAACCCCGCTTTGTTGACATTTATGTACTATCTCCTGGATGATGATGAATGATTTCTTCCAAAGCTAAATACTTGCCATTTTCTTGAAGTTAAATCCTTATGAATTTGAATCTTAAAAAAAAACAAAAAAACTAATTTTATGAATTTTCAAAACATGGGTTGATTGTTCTATTTTATTTTTTGTTAGGAATTAAAATAAGAAAATTTATGAGTTACATGGCTTTGTGAACTTTCATGCAATAGATTAAAAAAAAAACAAAAAGAAATAGAGAATAAAAAACAAGAACTAGACTTTATAAGAGTAAGTAATGCACCACAAGAAGCAGAAACCACGTCCCTAAATACACATTAGGGATGTTTGGTTGCAAAAGTTAGCAAGAATTTAGGTTTCGTTCGCACCCGTTCTCTTGCTGCTTCTTAAAGTAATTTTTTAGTACAAAAAACTAAACAAAGCCTTAGCCTAAGGCTTCATTTGGGACGACTATTTTACTGCTTTCTAAAACAGCTTTTTAGTTCAAAAATTCCTTGAACAAAAAGTTTTCGTATTAGAAATCTGATTTAGAAAACATTAAGAAAGCTGCCCCAAATCATGCCTAAACCTTGCCAATTTATTTTTTGAGCTAAATCTGGATTTAGTAAATCCTCAAAGAAATAGAATGGAAGAGATTACATAACTTCTTCTGATTCAAATATAAAATCTTGATAATATCTGCCAAATATATCATATGATTTAATGAAATTTAATATCTAATATGCCAAACAGTTCTCAGGATTGACTAAATCCTACTTGAATTAAATCATAATCTTAGCCAAACAGACCTGAGTATGTCACCTGTAACTAGCCAAATCAAATCATACACATGCCCTTTGCTGCAGCTAAGCTAGCTCCAATAAGGAGCTACTGCAAAATCTGCTTAGTAGATCATTTAAGATTTCGTTTGGAACTCGAACTCGTTTATCATACGAGCTCGAGCTCGAAGCTTGATAAGCTCGGCTCGCGAGCTCGTTAACGAGTCGAGTTCGAGCCGTCTAGCGGGGGTCTTCAATTTGTGATCCGTGACCAAATCTAAAGATCAATGGTGCGGGGGGTCCCGCGGAATTTCTTTGTGCTTCAGCCGTCTGGGGAAGTTTCTGCGTCTGATTGTTCGAATGGGATGCCGATTTCAACAAAGAACAATCAAACTGATTATTACTTCTGTTCTCACTATATTAAACAAAGAAATTCAGCAATTCAATACATCTACACATAATCACATAAACTTTTTTTTGAAATTTAAATGAGCACATTAAACCGTAATGAATTCATTACATTAAATTATTAGCCATTAAAAAAAAAATTTGTTTATTTCATATCCTGACTCCATACGTCAACCCACCAGCACGTACTGCTTCCAACAGACCTTCTCTGGTAAACATACAACACTCAGCTTCTATGTATTCTAGCCTCTCCGAACATCCTCTAAGTCCAGTTCCCACTACATCTCTACAGCCAGAAACCACTAACACATGAAGCAACCGACATCCTCTTGAAACTGCTAGAATCCCCCAGTCAGTGATGTTCACACAGTAAGATAAGTTCAAATTCTCCAACAACTTGCAGAAATTTGCTATCATTTCTAATCCGATATCAGTAATGTTGCATTTATATAGTATCAGTGATACCAATCGATTGCATTGGATAGCAACCTGAGTGACACCTTCATCTGTGATATTGAAACAACAATATAAGGATAATGAGCGCAGGGTAGTTTTCAAGTTCTTCAATCCGGCTAATGCTGAATCAGGTAATTCTTTGCAACCTTCTATTGATACTGAGGTTAGTTGAGAGAAACGATTTAGTAGCATTGGAAGATATCTCAGATTTGAGTGATACGCCGTCGGCTCGTAAGAGAAGTGGAGATTCAATGATCGACGAGAAATATTTTGAATATGGAGCCAACGGCGACAAGTTAACCCGAAAGAATTTCGATCGGTTCCATTCTGAAGCTTTTGAAAAATACAAACTAGACAGTCATCAGATAAGTTCATATTCGGTTTGATATATAGCTGCAGATGAGACTAACAGCTCAACTCATTCACTTGAGTAAATCAACTGAGATCCACTGAGAAAAGAGATTAGAGCTTTCTTGGTAGAACATTTCTACAAAGAGTTTGTTTGAATGCAAATAGTGGTCACAAGAGCTGATGCTGCACATAGCAATAACAATAATTAGCTCATAGATGTGAATAGAAGATGAATTTAACGAATGTTGTTGAGATTAATAAGTTTTAATAGTAAAAATTGTTTAGTATTCATCACCATGATATAATGAGGTTAAATATAATATCAAATGAGTGGAGGAAGAACATTTTAGCATGCAATATTAGAAATGTTTCTCCAGAATTAAAGACCAAATAAATATTATTAAAAGATACACTGGCTGCAAGAAAGTTTGAAGTTTTAAAAGGAGAGTGTTTAGCAGAGTCAAAGGTACACTTATTGATTATTTGCAAAATAATCTAGGCATTAGGGAAATATTAAAAAATAAAACATAAGGCTAGTGAAGAGGTTGATTTTGCACTTTAAAAAGGCCCTTCAATAACAGAATGGTTGCAAAGTTGCTTATGATTACATTATTTTATTTCCATTGCAATTCTAAATGTAGTACCTTTTCTATTTGTTTATTTATTTATATTTGAATGTTATTATGGTTAAGATTATGAAAACTATAAATTAAAATTATCATTTAGTATGAATGTATATGTATATGTAAAATATACATCTAACAATTTAAAATACATGCAAGAGAAAAATGAAGTAAATTTAAAAGTGTATATAATATGAAAATTACATGTAAAGATGCATGTAAAGAATAATGAAATAAATGAAAAAACTTATAATATGTAAAAGAAAGTATAATTTAAAAGGAAAAGACACATGCATGCAAATACAGGAGTTCACCCTTTATAATACTGGAAGGGAAAACAACATATTTTGTGCACCTTAAATGAAAATGAAAATAGAAATATAAATAATTGCACCATCACTGATAAAAATTTTAGACTGTGTTTTTGTATTAAATGAAAAAGGGAAAAAGAATAACTGAAAAAATGAATACGTTATTTGAAGAATATATAATAAGGATTTATATCATATGATATGTATATACACATATAAGTTAGCTGTAAAAAAAGTTAAATGAATATGATTATCTTACGTATGTACAACTGCTATACTACAAGTTGTGATTATCCACTGAGTTTACTATGTAAACTCAAACTATTAAACTAAATTTTAGAAAAATCTTCTAAAAAATAAAATGACTGAAAGAGAAGAATATATTTACATAGGAAGACGATCGAATGAAAACAGATAAAATTTGGGTGTATATATTCAATTCAAATTTCTAAGTTAGTTAGTGATTCTTCAATTTTATGAGTGACGCTAGTTTTAATTGTTTATGTATAAGTTAAGAAAATGAATTAACCATCAATTCTCGCCTTGTTAATTTGAGTACCTGGGCCGGGTCATGACATCATATGTTCATCTTTTTCCCCTGTCTAAAACTTTATGGAGCATCAAATATTAAGGTTCTGAAATTCCGCAAAACAACTAAAACCTATCTATGATTTTGACATTTAAAGATATTTGGAGTCATTCTTCATTCACAAATAGAATAAAACATTTTTTTTCCCACTCTTCACTCTTATCTGGTATATAGTATATAGGAAGTTAAAAATTGCATATAATTGGTTCCTCGAATCAAAAAATCTACTATTAACATTATTTAATTCAGGATCTTTTGCTTGGTTTCTTTCTGGATGAAGCAAGTTTGTGGTCTATCACTAAACAAATCAAGGCAACCATCAACACCCTGGAGCTAGAAGGCTTTCCATTGATGGTACAAAAAATATGTTAAGAATTTGAAGTTGAAAGTGAAGGAATTACCTTGAGTGATAATGGCAATGGAGACATTATAGGTAACATTGGAAGTGTAGTAATAAATTGGGTGCAACTTCTACTTTACATTCATTCGAAATCATTAAGCAAAGTGGGGTTGAAACATAAATAAATCAAAAGATAATTTAGTTATATTCTCAATTTGTTATTTTTTTTTTAAATTAAATTGAATCCAATGTTAATTGATATGGGGAGCAAGAAGAAAAATACAATAATTGAATAAGAGTTTGAAGATGATGATAAGGCTAAAGAATCAATTTACTAAACCAGGGATTTACTAAACCTATTTCTCCTAGGATTTACTAAACCAGGGATTTAACCTAATATTGGAGAAAAATGGGATTTTAAAGAATCAATTTTTAAAATAAATATCATTAAAAATTTAATTAACTATTAAACCATCGAAATAAAAAAATTTAAAACTACGCAAAGTCGCCCAATGAATGGACGACTTGCTCAAGTTATAATATCTTTAAGAAAACATTTCAGGAGAGAGAAAATATATAAGAGAAATAAAGAATGAGAGAGAAATAAAAAAATTCAAAACGAACAAGATAAATTTAAAATAACGATAATTTATTATGAATAAAAAATTATAAAAAAATATGTATTTTTAAATTAATTATGATAAATTAAATTGTAAAATTTTTTGTCACTTACTAACTCATTAAAAAAATTTCATTCTAAATTATTTATTAAAAAATAAGAAAAAACATTTACATTTAAGATTTTAATAAAAAAATCTGATATACCACCTCTCCCGAACAACATGAAAAAAAAAATGTTTTGGATTTTTTTATTTCTACCTCATACTTTATTTCTCTATTTTTAATTTATTTCTCCCTCTAACTTTCTCTCCCCTAAAATCTATTTTAATGATAATTATTTTAAAAATTTACCCTAGAATTTATATGGATCAAAATCAGTTTTCCAAGTTTTAGCCTAAATCTGGGCTAAATCTAGCAAGCAAACAGCCCCTTAGCATACAAAAGAGAAACTTACAAAATCTCATAAGCAAAAGCTAGCAGAAACTCGGATTTGTAACCTAAAACGAAAGCCACAGATGAAACAATCATCAGAAATCACCATTCTGTATCTTAACATAAGGAGAAACAAAAGAAGAAGAAAGCCAAATTCAGCGCGCAGAAGATAGCACAAAATAATTCAAATGAAAAAAAAAGGCATCGTCAAAAATAAATCATGAGCACAGGCATAAAAGCTTAATAAGAATAAGAAAAGGGTTAATCGAGATCCGATTTTGATGGGTTGTCTTCATCGATAAGCGATAATGATTCAATCTCTACTGCAAAGAATGAAATTACTAATGGCTAAACGAACGGAATTAGAAGAAAGGAAACCTTGTCGAGTTCCTCCACTCCTCGAGGAGCAGTGGAAACTAAACGGCAGTGAAAAAAGGGCAGCTCTCAGGTCCCTCGGCCTGCAACCTCTAATCTGAGCTGTTAATATGGATAGGAGGTTTTTATTATTTTTGGGAAATTTCTAGAAAACACCCTCTTAATTATATATATATATATATCTATATAATATGGGCATTTTAAAAGCATCAATTAGTTGAGCACTTGTTTGAAAAAAATATTAATGATATTGATTTGATGAGTAATTACATACATACCATGAAAGTTTTATGTATTTATACATCTAAAATATAAATTTTATATTTGAATTGCTAAATAGCATTAAAACATATATATGAAAAGGTATAGTTTCACATTAGAAAGGTAATATTTGTGATATTTTTGACATAATTTTGAAATTAAAATATTATATAAGTAAATATTAAGATTTGCATATTAGATATGTAAATATATAAAAATTTAGAATTATAAATGTAAATCCTTCTCATTTAAATGTCCAGTGTTGAACCAGTTACTTTCGGATTAAAAAAGAAGAAGAAGTTTCATTTGCATAAGACTCGGACAAGTCTTTAAGTGATGATCCTAAAAACAAATATGAATAAGGTAATTTTTCTGACAAATTTATAATCTGCATAGCGAATTAAATTTTCATATATCAACAAAAATTTATTTTGATCAGGCATGGATATCGAGATAAGTTTGAGTTAGAAACTTCAAAAATCAAATCTGGGACCATCTGAGCTCAGATTTCAGCAAACTTATAGTCGAATTGAACGTCTCAAAAAGATGAATCCAACGACATCAAATTCAAGCAAGCCTAGCCAGAATGGGCCCAAATCGAAGACCCAAAGCACATATGAAAAGTTTGAACTATAAATTGTATGATCAAATGATTTATAAATGTGACATGCTTATAGTCGAATTGGGCAGCTCGACTGGACGATCCAACAAGCCCTTGATTTCTAAATGTGACATGCTTATAGTCGAATATTTATATAGAAGAATCATTAAGACACTCAAATGCTTGATAAACGGTCTACAATCAAGGGAATTGATATCAGCCGTTCATTCAAAACATTCCCAACATATCCTTGATCTTGTCCTTATTTACTGCTATCTCATTCTCTGAAAAATTATAAATAGACCCCTTATTTTTCACTGAGGAGAGATTAAGCAAGGAAGAAAATAAAGACAAAAAAACTAAAGTTCTCTTGCCGCTATACTCCTCCTCGACCACCCTCAGACCATCATCAGACCACCGATCGTCGTAGGACCGTTGACTGACAGTGGACTTCTGCCCCCCATCAGCTGTCGCTGGACTTCCCCTTGGCCACTAATTGATGCTGAATTTACACCTAGCCATCGCACGTCATCGGACTTTTGTCCAATCCTTGTTTGTCGTTAAATTTCAACATGATGATTGACAATTGTAGTCTGATCGTCCTCAACTTCAAGGACATATCAAGCTTTGTAATCTATTTAAAACTAGTAAAATCATTTCAACTGGGCATCGTCTCATGGTTTTTCTCTTCAGAGTTTTCCACGTAAAAAATTATGGTGTTTCTTTTTATCTATTTGTGTACTGGATACTCGTGGAACTCTAAGATGAAATTTTTTTTTTGCTTTAACGTTGTGAATATTCTAGCCCGCGGCAAATTTATACCAATATCTCATGTAATAATAAAAAAAAAGTAATGTTTATGCATAAACGACTAAAGTTATGTGATTAGTTAAATTATAATCTAATAACTATTTATAATCATGCAAATGCATTACTCATCTCCAAGTTTTGTCTACTAATTTCAATAGTGAATAATTAATAATCTTATATGATATCACTCAGTAAAATTTATTTATTTTTAATCCTTCAATTTCACTTGTAAGCAAACTCTGTGCTTATATTTTCATAGTAAGCACAGCCATTTCCAAGATCTGACTTTGTTGGCATTATAGAAAATCTCTTATTTTAACTTATTTTTTTATGGGAGAGGATAGATTTGAACTTTTAAGGCTCTTAGATGGCTTAGAAAATCTGAGTGCTTGAAAAATGAAAGAGTGCGTAGCTACTTTATATAGTGAAATAAAAACACTTAGGAACCTTTATTTTTTAGGAAAATTATGAGAATCTAAGGCTTCGTTTGGGACGGCTTTCTTACTGCTTCTTAAAGCAGATTTCTAGTTGAAGAAAAAATTAATTTTTGTACTAAAAAGCTGCTTTAAGAAACAATAAGAACGCCGCCCCAAACAAAACCTAAGATTTCGTTTGGGAAGGTTTTTTTACCGCTTCATAAAGAAACTTTTTAGTACAAAAACTTAGATTTTTATACTATAAAACTACTTTAAGAAACAGAAAGAAAGTCATCCCAAACGAAGCCTAAGGCTTTCTTTGGGACGACTTTCTTAGGCTTCGTTTGAGAAAACTTTCTTATTTTCCATAAATAAATAAAAATTTATTTTGATCAGGCACGAATTTCGAGATAAGATTGAGTTAGAAACTTAAAAAATTAAATCTGGCACCATCTGAGCTCGGATTTCAACAAACTTATAGTCGAACTGAACGTCTCAAAAAGATGAATCCAACGACATCAAATTCAAGCAAGCCTAGCCAAAATGGGCCCAAATCGAAGACCCAAAGCACATATGAAAAGTTCGAACCATAAATTGGATGATCAAATGATTTATAAATGTGACATGCTTATAGTTGAATTGGGCAGCTCGACGGGACGAATCCAACAAGCCCTTGATTTCTAAATGTGACATGCTTATAGTCGAATATTTATATAGAAGAATCATTAAGACACTCAAATGCTTGATAAATGGTCTACAATCAAGGGAATTGATATCGGTCGTTCTTTCAAAACACTCCCAACATATCATTGATCTTGTCCTTATTTATTGCTATCTCATTCTCTGAAAATTATAAATAGACCCCTTATTCTTCACTGAGGAGAGATTAAGCAAGGAAGAAAATAAAGACAAAGAAACTAAAGTTCTCTCGCCGCTATACTCCTCCTCAACCACCCTCGGACCATCATCAGACCACCGACCGTCGTAGGACAGCCGACTGACGGTGGACTTCTGCACAATCATCAGCTGCCGTTGGACTTCCACCTGGCCACCAATTGATGCCGAATTTACACCCGGCCACCGCCCGTCTGTGGACTTTTGTCCGATCCTTGTTTGTCGATAAATTTCAACCTGATGATTGACAATTGTAATATGATCGTCCTCAACTTCAAGGACATATAAAGCTTTGTAATATATTCAAAACTAGTAAAATCATTTCAGCTGGGCATTGCCTTGTGGTTTTTCTCTTCAAAGTTTTTCACGTAAAAAATTATGATGTTTCTTTTTATCTATTTGTGTATTGGATACTCGTGAAACATTAAAACGGAATATGTTTCTGCTTTAACGGTGTGAATATTCTAGCCCGCAACAAATTTATACCAATATCTCATGTAATAATAATAATAAAAATTTTATGTTTATGCATAAACGACTAAAGTTATGTGATTAGTTAATTTATAATCTAATAACTATTTATAATCATGCAAATGCATTGCTCATCTCCAAGTTTTGTCTACTAATTTCAATAGTGAATGATTAATAATCTTATATGATATCACTCAGGAAAATTTATTTATTTATAATCCTTCAATTTCACTTGGAAGCAAACTCTGTGCTTATATTTTCATAGTAAGCACAGCCATTTCCAAGATCTGGCTTTGTTGGCATTATAGAAAATCTCTTATTTTAACTTATTTTTTTATGGGAGAGGATAGATTTGAACTTTTAAGGCTCTTAGATGGCTTAGAAAATCTGAATGCTAGAAAAATGAATGAGTACGTAGCTATTTTATATAGTGAAATATAAACACTTAGGAGCCTTTATTTTTAGGAAAATTATGAGAATCTAAGGCTTCGTTTGGGAGGGCTTTCTTACTGCTTCTTAAAGCAGATTTCTAGTTGAAAAAAAAATAATTTTTGTACTAAAAAGCTGCTTTAAGAAGCAATAAGAACGCCGCCCCAAACAAAACCTAAGACTTCGTTTGGGACGGTTTTTTTACCGCTTCATAAAGTAACTTTTTAGTACAAAAATTTAGATTTTTATACTATAAAACTAATTTAAGAAACATAAAGAAAATCATCCCAAACGAAGCCTAAGGCTTGTTTGGGACGACTTTCTTAGGCTTCGTTTGAGACGAATTTCTTATTATTTCTTAAAGCAGTTTTCAAGTATAAAAATTTTAATTTTTATACTAAAAAGCTACTTTAAAAAGCAGTAAGAAAGCCGTCCCAAACGAAGCCTAAGTTTTAATTCAAACTTCATTTGAATCAAATTTTGATTCAATTTAGACTGCTTCTTATTCTTCCCTGAAATTTTATGTTAATATAAATATGCAACTGCACATATACATAGGCAATTTGGCTTTCCATACCTCAATAGCAAAAATTAGAGAAATATACAAATTATTTATTTTATGAGATATATTACATAACATTATATGCAATATTCATCCTTTCTCCTCAACCTTCCTATTGAGGAAAAAATTATTAGGTGAGGAGTGTGCACCGTCCGCACAATCATCAGGCACCTAGCGGTACCCAACGGTACCGAGTGCCAGTATCTAGCTGGATATAGTGCTTATGCGGACGATTCTCCCCATCCGCACTTCGCACCTAATAATCTCTCCCTAGTGAGGCTGTATGTGCTGCAGCTCTTCGGTTACATTTCTGATCTTAATGCTGCCTTGCCTCATACAAAAAACCTACACCATCTGTTCATTTGCTGTTTGATTTACTTGCTTTGGCGTGCAAAGAATAAGGGGCAGTTTGGCAATGACATC